ATTTAATTGCCAACTTGCGACATATATGACTTTAAACGAGTCAAAGTATGGCATTAATAGTCAACTTGCGACATATATGACTTTAAACCAGTCAAAGTATGGCATTTATGATATATCTATCCATTCTCTGGCAACTTAAGTTTGAGTTTATGGCGTCAGTAGCGGTAATCTGACCATGGTTGCTGTAAATACTGATCACTTCACACATGATTTCGCCAAAAAGTATTGTAAACAATATTGAATGAAATTTTTAATAAAACTTATAAAATATATCTCAAATATAAGTCCAGATGTACAACGAACACTTGTTTATAACCAGATGGTATAATAATGGAGGTAAGCTGCGTACTTCAGTTTGGATTTGTTGACTGGTATTTCCTGTGTTACGTGCTCACGGTGATCAGCTGATAATGTTTTTTGGGATGGGGAAAAAACACACAAACAAACACACGTCAGTCTTAACCAACCTTCATTTTTATTTGTATGAGAATATGTTTTACTGAGTCATAATTAAATTGTTAAAACGACTGCCTGGTACCATCTCAGTGTGAGATATTGAGAAATTATCTTGCTGTGTAGAGCTTGGCTCGGTGTTTCAAATCACGCTATCATGTACAATCTTCCTACTTTCAGTGATAACATTACTCTCTATATTGTGTGTCGGCTTAATTAAAATATGAGATGGAGCTATGTATAAGTTGTGTTTCTGTGAAGTACCCTGCGGAGATCAGCCGACTTGTAGCTGTCATTAATCAGATCAGGTTGAGACATTGCTACATTAAGGACAGTGAGATGTTGCGAGGAACTTGTGTCCAGCTCGGCTCATGAAGTAGATACTATTTGAGGGTTGTAATGATCTAGATGAATTGATATACCATGTTTATTAACGGTGATTAATGCGAACAATTGAAATGTAAGCTGATTCTTTCTCTCATCAACAAAGGTGGTAATGTTAAGATGAAATCTACCATGAATTAAAGAACAATGAATTTGACACTGCAGATTAGCTGTGTCTTGTTCTGAAAAACGTTCTTGTTCATTCCAATGAAGTAAGGTACTGGCAACCGAGACTTGTTAAACAATGATTTGTAACTTGAAACGTAAAGAGGGACCAAATGTCTGTGTCTGGAAATTCACCCAATAATGAGTTTCTCATTTTACTCCCCCTTTTTCACTTCTGCAGTCTTTGGTATTTTTAAATTCAAGTGTTCCTTGTCGTACCCGTTATGTCATGAATGACTGTTGGAAACTTAGATTCAAATACAATAACAGCAGGACTCAGTTTCCCAGGACCCTCCTTAATATGAACCTTGTGGCTGCAACTTGGCATCAAGAAAACTAATAAATATTTACATAGATTAAAACAAATAATTTTTTTTACCTGAAACCACATATCTGTTACGTGCTTGTGGCAGTACATACTTCTGTTGCCTGAGCTAGAAGTCAGACATTAAAACCAAGCAGCCATGTTCCTTGTCACTGATGAAGATTGGATGAACTAGAAGACCACTGTTAACAAAGTTAGGTGGTGTACTGAAACGGTGGTTACTAATGGCTAAATGAAGCTTCATGAAGCTGTTTAGAAGGGTTTCAGACAACCAACTTCAATTTTGTTTCACTGGCACAATGTATTGAACATCACTCAAAGTCCCATTTTATGGCATCACTAATGTGTTTGTATCTTCGATGGGCTGACTGCATTAGTGGTCGTGCAGTTTATGTATTGGAACTAGACAGACCAGCTATGCTTGTGCAATGGCCAGGTGTCTTATGAACCTAATGGTATGTCCTCATTTGTGTTCCATTCACCCATCTGTATACACATCTGTCCCTGGTTCCATCTGGCGGCTTGTACATCTGTCTCTCCATTCACCCATCTGTATACACATCTGTCCCTGGTTCCATCTGGCGGCTTGTACATCTGTCTCTCCATTCACCCATCTGTATACACATCTGTCCCTGGTTCCATCTGGCGGCTTGTACATCTGTCTCTCCATTCATCCATCTGCATACACATCTGTCCCTGGTTCCATCTGGCGGCTTGTACATCTGTCTCTCCATTCATCCATCTGCATACACATCTGTCCCTGGTTCCATCTGGCGGCTTGTACATCTGTCACTCCATTCATCCATCTGCATGCACATCTGTCCCTGGTTCCATCTGGCGGCTTGTACATCTGTCACTCCATTCATCCATCTGCATGCACATCTGTCCCTGGTTCCATCTGGCGGCTTGTACATCTGTCTCTCCATCCAGCAGCTTGTACATCTGTCTCTCCATTCATCCAACTGTATACACATCTGTCCCTGGTTCCATCCAGCAGCTTGTACATCTGTCCCTGGTTCCATCCAGCGGCTTGTACATCTGTCCCTGGTTCCATCCAGCAGCTTGTACATCTGTCTCTCCATTCACCCATCTGTATACACATCTGTCCCTGGCTCCATCCAGCGGCTTGTACATCTGTCTCTCCATTCATCCATCTGTATACACATCTGTCCCTGGTTCCATCTGGCGGCTTGTACATCTGTCTCTCCATTCATCCATCTGTATACACATCTGTCCCTGGTTCCATCTGGCGGCTTGTACATCTGTCTCTCCATTCATCCATCTGTATACACATCTGTCCCTGGTTCCATCTGGCAGCTTGTTCATCTGTCTCTCCATTCATCCATCTGTATACACATCTGTCCCTGGTTCCATCTGGCGGCTTGTACATCTGTCTCTCCATCCAGCAGCTTGTACATCTGTCTCTCCATTCATCCATCTGTATACACATCTGTCCCTGGTTCCATCTGGCGGCTTGTACATCTGTCTCTCCATTCATCCATCTGCATACACATCTGTCCCTGGTTCCATCTGACGGCTTGTACATCTGTCTCTCCATCCAGCAGCTTGTACATCTGTCTCTCCATCCAGCGGCTTGTACATCTGTCTCTCCATCCAGCCGCTTGTACATCTGTCTCTCCATCCAGCGGCTTGTACATCTGTCTCTCCATCCAACGGCTTGTACATCTGTCTCTCCATCCAGCGGCTTGTACATCTGTCTCTCCATCCTGCAGCTTGTACATCTGTCTCTCCATCCTGCAGCTTGTACATCTGTCTCTCCATCCAGCAGCTTGTACATCTGTCTCTCCATCCAGCGGCTTGCACATCTGTCTCTCCATCCAGCAGCTTGTACATCTGTCTCTCCATCCAGCAGCTTGTACATCTGTCTCTCCATCCAGCAGCTTGTACATCTGTCTCTCCATCCAACGGCTTGTACATCTGTCTCTCCATCCAGCGGCTTGTACATCTGTCTCTCCATCCAGCAGCTTGTACATCTGTCTCTCCATCCAGCGGCTTGTACATCTGTCTCTACCTCCAGCGGCTTGTACATCTGTCTCTCCATCCAGCGGCTTGTACATCTGTCTCTCCATCCAGCAGCTTGTACATTTGTCTCTCAGTTCATCAATAGTTTCACATATCCATCAATAAAAATGGTTTAGCCAATCTAAGGTTTATGACAGTTTTTCAAAATCTTGACACATCTATCTGTGCTTTGAAGAAAATATTAGGGTTTAGTAATGGTGTGGAAATTAAACCATTAAACCATTCTTCTCTTGTACCTTTGAGCATGTTGAGTAAAAAATCGGACAAACTTGAGTGAAGGTGGCAAGGCAGGAAGTTTCAAGTAAGACTCTGAGAGTAACAGTGTTTTGTGTAATCATAGATCTGTTAGGGGAGGGGTAGCATAGGGGTCCTTTTTGGCCGCCCTCCTACAAATGTCAATTTGTGCAAAACTTATGGCTAATATGAGTGAAAAGGCAGATTTGTAGAAATTGGAATGTGCTATTTTCGATGACAAGAACATGTGCATTTGTGGGGGAAATAATGAAATTCATGGCAATTGATTTTCCGCTGTTTAAGTGGAACAGCGGTATCATGAATTAGTGCAAGGGATGAATGACTGTACCGAAAACATTCACAACAATTAAGCAGATCCTACGTGTCTTAAAGGACTCTTTCTGTACCTCGTCCTTCATCAACCTTGTACGGCTTGCAACACTTCATCTATGCCCATTCATTGATACAATCATTTTGTTACGATCCAGTTAAGCCTCTGTGAGATTCTTTAAATTTAGTAAACAACTAAATTCTTTCATGCTCTACAAGATCTGTGTGTAAGGTTTTGAATCTGGAGTCAGAGACAAGAATCTGATTACAAGGCATGTGGTTCAAGCAACCATTGCTCCTGTCAAATGAATGAAATATAGTTGAATGGGAAGTCATTGCTGCCTTCACCCAAACCACATGCACTTGACCTGTACGTCACTGCTCCCTTTACCACAACAACATTCAGTGACCTGTAAACTGTTGTTTCCTTCAGCAGCATCACTTTAGTTGACTGGTAGTTATCCCTACGTTATTCTGTCCTTCCATTTGTCTTTCTGTTGCCAAAACTTCACTCGACCATAATAGGTGACAAATGGGATCGGGTGGTCAGGCTGGCTGACTTGGTATAAGCATGTCATTGTATCCCAATTGCGATCGATGCTCTTGATATCAATCACTGGATTGTCTGCTCCAGACTCGATTTTTTTAAAGACCGCCGTCATATAGCTGGAATATTGCTGAGTGTGGCGTAAAACAACAAACCAACCAACCAACTTCATTCGTCTTGTCTCTCCATCTGTCTATTCAATATTTCTGTTTGTTTATCCATCTACCTTTTATCCAAAATGACACACAGTAATCATATGTTTTAACTTGAACCACTTGTCAATCTTTTTATAACCATCCGTCCATCTATTTGTCCATCCGTTCACTGTTTCGATCTGTCATTCCATGTGCCTGTCCATGCTCTTTCCTCTCTTCCAGTGTATCAGATATCATATGTTCTAACGTAGCCAATACAATCTGTCGTGAAAACATTCTAGAATGTTTTCTATCACCTTTTTGACATGAATGCTGGTTAATAAATCATGTTGATTAATGATGGTTCTCTTCGTGTGTTGACCAGGTGAGTGATGTCAACGATGACGTCAGGAGAGTTGCTGTGACGGCCCTTGGATTCCTGCTGTTCAGGTAGGTGTTAGTAATTGATGACATCATGTGATACAGTGCTGGAGCTCACCTGGTCCAGGCAAAGAAACATCATCGATCGGGCCAGAAATGAAGATGCTTGTGTTTTCGGATAACCTGTCAGCTCCATAATTACCTTTGATAGGCTATGGATTATTCCATCATCTTATGGACATGGGGGTCAAGGGTTGCCCGGTGGGCAAAGGTGCAGATTTAAAGATTCACTCCAATTATGGCCCTTGGCTTGTCAGGCCTAAACCCTGGCTTGTGGATCTCCTGCTTGCCCCACATTACGCTCACATGCTGTAATGTAACTGAAATACTGGTCAACCTCCCTACAGTGTTGCATGGTCAACATGACTTCCATAGAGACTTCAGGGGGATCTTATCTTGCAGGCATTGATTTCGCTATATCCAAGCTGCACCAATGCAGGTCAAATATTTCAAGTACAGTAGGGCTGGGACGTGTAACTCGGGTACATGGGTTGGGTGGTTCCTGAGTGGGACCCGGGTACCCACAGTACTACCCAGACCCGTGGTTATTCACGTGATATAATGTTTAATAGCAAAAATTATCTAGAACTTCCGCGGTTGCACTATAAGCGACTTATATTCACATTTCTTTCTGACTATGCACGCATTCCTTCTGACTTTATATGTTTGAATAGAGACAATACTTCAGTCAACTTCAGTGTTGTTTGCAGGACCAGATTGTTTTATTTGGATACATTTTGCCAGGGGTATGGTCAAACTATTCCCAATTGGACATTTGTCCCTATCTCTTGAGTCCCACAGAGGGTACTCAGGTAGGGTCGGGTAATAGTGGGGTGGTAAATTTGGACTCGTCCCAACCCTAAAGTGCAGGTAACTTTTATTGTCAGGTTGCCCTCACCGCAGGTACCATTTTCCACCACAAGTGAATGGCAGCCGTTTTATTTGTATACGTTAACCATAATAATGTCTACTTCTACCGTGTGTTCAAATCAATTCCCGGAGGTGAAATGTAAAGAAGTCTGTTTTTTCATGCCCATAAATCAGTTATGTAAACCACATGATGTGTTCCCTATCTTGAGATGTTTCGTGTCACAAGTCACTGGTAAAGGCTATGGTAATTTGTTTGTACACACAGTATTGTGATGTTTCGTGCAAGGTCAGAGGTCACGGAAAGAATTTAAATTTATGAATAAAAATTCAGATTAAAAGGGACCGTCTATGCAAACATTCTTCCAGACATCCAGTAATGTGAGCATTACTCCAGATAGTTAAGTTGCTGATGAATAGTCCATACATCCCTCTCGGACTATTGATAAAGTGTCAGTGACAGCGATAGGATTGTTGATTGCCTATCAGTGAAACTGCTTACAGAAATGCTTTAAATGTAACAAAAGACAGTGTCCCCATACTAAGTAGATCTATCAGAAATGATATCAAGAAGAAAGTGAAAAACGTTATTTTTAGAAATAGCTGGACAGACGGTTGGGATTGGCTTCAATAAGGAGAAAGCTTGATGTACTGTCAAATTTAATAAAAAATTGATAAAAGTGAAAAGCTGAATCCTTTTAGAACTGGCTGCAAATCTTTTAGACTCCAGGAAATAAACATTCATGAAAACAGTGAAATAAACATGGGCTCTGAATGCAGAGAACATGCAGAAGTTTGTGGCAAAACTAATTAATTCTCAATCACCACTAGAACGGCCACTCATGGGGTTATAATCATTTTAGAACTTTCGTTTCGAGTTGTCTACTGGATGGCAAGATGTCAGAAGCCATGTATACAGATTTCCCCAAAGTAGAATACTGAAGCACATTCTCAGCTTTATTTTCTCTTTTAATTTGTTTAATATTCAAAATAACTGAAAACACAGTACTAGGGCTGGGTAACTGGGGTACTCAGGTCGGGTGGGTCATGAGTAGGACGTGGGTACCCACAGGACTACCCGGACCTGTGGTTAGTCATGTGGTTAGTCATGTGATATATTGTTTAATGACAAAAACTCACTATAGCTCAGTGGTTACAATACATGTCGCATGTTTGCATTTCTTTCTGACGATGCACACATTCCTTTTGACTTGCATATGTTTGAGTAAAGATAACGCTTCAGTCAACTTCAGTGTACGCATGATCTGATCGTTTGATACATGTATCTCAATACTTACTGCCTGGGCTGCGGTGAAACAATTCCCAATCAGACATCTTGTTCCCAACTCTTGAGACCCTCAGTGGGTACCCGGGTAGGGTGGGGTAATAGGAGGTCTGATACCTGGGTAGGGTCGGGTAATAGGGGGTCGGATACCCGGGTAGGGTCGGGTTATAGGGGGTTGGGTACCTGGATAGGGTTGGGTAATAGGGTAGGGTCGGGTAGGGTAGGGTAGGGTAATAGGGTAGGCTCGGGTAATAGGGGGTCGGATACCCGGGTAGGGTAGGGTAAGGTAATAGGGGGTCGGATACCCGGGTAGGGTAGGGTAGGGTAATAGGGGGTCAGATACCAGGGTAGGGTAGGGTAATAGGGGGTCAGATACCCGGGTAGGGTAGGGTAATAGGGGGTCGGATATCCGGGTAGGGTAGGGTAGGGTAATAGGGGGGCAGATACCCAGGTAGGGTCGGGTAATAGGGGGTCGGATACCCGGATAGGGTCGGGTAATAGGGTAGGGTCGGGTAATAGGGGGTCAGATACCCGGGTAGGGTCGGGTAATAGGGGGTCAGATACCCGAATAGGGTCGGGTAATAGGGGGTCGGGTACCCGGGTAGGGTAGGGTAATAGGGGGGCAGATACCCGGGTAGGGTCGGGTAATAGGGGGTCAACATTAGCCAGTATTTTTGTGGTACAGCCTGATTAATTTACTTGGTTGTACCTGCTGGTAAAGAAGAAGGAAAGCGTACCCTGCCTTATCACACACATATCTGTGGCCTTGAATTCATTGCTAGTTAGGATATTCAAGTATTCAGACACTTGTTTCCCAATTCCGTATCTCACAACCCACTCTTGAAATAATCCCACACATAAATGTGTCACGAGATATTTCCAGTTCAACCCCAAGGGCCAGATTATGATGAATCAGAATCAGTTTTTTTTATAATTTCTTTTGAGATGTCAATCTTTTTTATTCCACCCCCATCCGAGATTGATTGTTAGGACGGGATTTAAGAGTTATGGTTGGAAAGTTAATTGGAAGAATTAGTATCTAGTTTTCAATGTAATAAGTAATGCTGTTCTTACAGTAGATGTCAGCTTGGTGGGCCTAGCTCTGCGAGGTTGCCCCCCTCCGTTACAGGTTCATTAGTGGAAGTACAAGGCTTTAAGTCACACTCCTTTGCCAGCAGCAGTAATAGGCTGAGATTGCAAATGACTTGCTCACCTCAAAAATGTGATTTTTCTGAACAGAAATCAATATTTAAGAAGGTCAGGTTAGAGAAGTTGTTGCCTTTTCCAGTTGAGCCAAAAGACAGACATTTTCTTGTCAAGCTCCGTGTTAGTGATTAGATTAGTTTTAGTCCTTTGCCTGAGAAGTGTTCAACTCCATTCACACACTGACAGTAAGTGAAAACTGGGAAGGGACGGGGGAATGAGCAAATTTGTCCTGGTTGTTGGAAAACCAGGAAAATTTATTTTTGTTTAAATATCTTGCGGGGGTGTGCATAAGGCATATCATCATTGATGATAATACATTTGTAGTTAATTCACATGCACTGAATCCATTCAACTTATGGTTATGACAAGTACAATCATAACTCTATTCACTATCTTGGTAAAAGGTATGTATCATAGATTCAAATACCAAAATGATATGCCATATGAATATATTTATACCTCTAAAATTTTGAAAGTAAAAAAATGGGTATTTTGGGGTACCCCCTGACGTGACATTGTTGGAATATGGCTAAAAGTGGTGTATTACCATACATGCTCACTCACTCACTCACTCACTCACTCACTGTCTCACAGACTACCTTATTTGTGGAATGAAGAGATTTTTGAAAACTAATAAATAAACAATATCTTAGAAACGTGTTTGGTGTTGAGGGTTATTGTGACATTATGCTTCTCAACAGAAATAATGTCTATGTTTGCCATCTTAAATTCATAAAACATCTGAAAGAAAGTTGTTGTTTTTTTGCTTTGGTGCTGGAAATGAAACTGACATTTGTTCAAACTAATAAGGAGCCTGCAGCTAGCATTTTAAAAAAATAATTAGATCAACATGCTGAATACAACCTGTTATTTGTTATTTTTATGTTTTTGTGGTCATATTCCCTGCTTTTCCTTTCACATTCTAACTTAATGGACCTGCTCTTATAGATTGGAGAATCATGTTCATCCCGACCATGCACGTTATCCAGACCAGAAGCTCCAAATATATACTCTTAGTATTCTGAATTGATTTTAGAGTTTGCTGCCCTGGCAGATATGACATTTACCTGGGGGTGGGGAGGCTGTTGTCCACCCTTGTGTAATGACCTGTCCAGTAGACGTGGGACATATGGAAGCGTTAAAAGGTCACATTGTGTGTGGGTGTGGGTGGGTGGGGGTGCGGGTGGGTGTGTGCAGGTGCGGGTGCGGGTGGGTGTGGGCACGGGTGGGTCGGTGTGGGTGGGCGTGGGTGGGTGTGGGCGGGTGCGGGTGGGCGTGGGTGGGTGTGGGTGTGGGCGTGGGCAGGTGTGGGGGTGTGTGGGGGGGTGGGGGGGTCTGGGTGTAGGTGTGGATGTGGGTGTGGTTGGGTGAGTGTGTGTGGGTGTGTTGGTGCGGGTATGTGGATGTGGGTGCGGGTGGGTGGGTGTGGATGTGGGTGTGGGTTTGCTGGGGCTGTTGTCCGTCCATCTATAAACATTCATCAGAAAGACATATATATTGTAAGCACTCTCACCTGATATGAGCTTTGCTTGGACCTTGTCAAGACAATATTGACTATACTGAGCTAGTGAAATGTACTTGGGACAGTTTAGGTGATAATGGATGTTTTTTCAAATTAATTGATACCATTGCTTAACTCCCTAGGTAGAAA